CTCTCTCTCCTCAGACTGGCAAGGGAGCAGGCCCGAGCCGTCTTCCTGGCCTCTCTCTCCGCAGACTGGCAAGGGAGCAGGCCCGAGTGCGAGACCTGAAGAGTGGCAACCAGCAGCTGGAGGAGCAGCGGGTGGAGCTGGTGGAGCGGCTGCAGGCCATGCTACAGGCCCACTGGGACGAGGCCAGCCAGCTGCTCAGCGCCACGCTCCTGCCTTCCAACCCTCAGGTAGGCCTCGCCCCCGAGAGCAGCTGTCCTGTCCAGATAAACCTTCTTCCACGGCCATAGCTCACCATCTGTGCCCCATTCCATCGGGCACAGCTGTGATCCCAGAGCTGAGACATGAGTGAGTATGTGGTCTACTGCGGAAGAACCATGGCTGCCCTGAATGACCATAAGTTGTTGCTGAGGCTAGGGAGATTCCGGTCAGTAAAGTGCTCGCTTTGCGGGGTGAGGGCCTGACTTCATGCCCTAAACAGCAGTGCATGACTGCTTCTGGAGAGAGGCTCCCACTCATCCTCAGCTTACAGTGAGCTCAGGATAACCCTGGGCTACATGAGGCCCTGTCTCAAAGGAAAAGCAAAGCAAGACAAGCAGCAAAAACCAGAGTGACTCCCTGAGAACTGCACTCAAGGTTGACTTCCGGCCTCCACACACGCTCACACACACACACACACACACACACACACACACACACACACACACACAGGCATACGCACACAAGTTGTTGCTAAGTCCTGCCCTAGACTAAAGCCTTTCACTTGTCTGGTTTCTCTTGATTTGTGATATGCTTATTGGCTAAACAGTTTTAACATCAGTAGAATGTATGTGGCACAAACAAAGAAAAATCCAAACTGTTTTGTTTTGTTGTTAAATAAAAGGTATACAGTAAAAAGCAGCCTCCACGCTCTCCCAGGACCCCGTCCCTCCACCAACCATCCAGCTTCCTTTCCCAGAGGCAGCCATGAGCTGGTGTCTTGAGCGTCCCTCTCTTCCCGTAACCCCTCACAGCGCATGCCACCCTCTGCCTGCTGCTGGACCACTGTCTGTGACCAAGTGCACGTTCCTGGACACAGAAGTGCTTTTCTGTGTTTTATCTACGGTTACAATAAATATCAAAATACATGTTGTTGTATAAATTATCTATAAAATTTCTGGAAATAGAATTGTAATAGGAAAAATGATCAGTTTAAGATTTGGTAGAAATTGCCAGGCACAGTGGTGCCCACCTTTAATCCCAGCACTTGGGGAGGCAGAGGCAGGTGGATCTCTGTGAGTTCAAGGCCAGCGTGGTTTACAGAGTGAGTCTAGGACAGCCAAGGCTACACAGAGAAACCCTGTCTCAGAAAACCAATACAATAGAAAAATAAATAAAATACATCAATAAGGGTGAAGTCTAGACAAGTTTTTAAAAAATTTTGGTGGAAATTAGATGCTACTCATTCTCCCTCGAAGGCGTTCAGGCAGTTTATAACCACGTTCAGGTGTCTCTTTAGACCCACGGGGCTGTAAACAGAATTTCTCTTTCTCCTGACCAGGCTCCTCCTGCTGAGCTCTCCAGCCCTGGGCCTCTGGAGCTGGAGAAGGGGGAGAGGAGGGTATGGGCCATGCCCCCCATGGCTGTGGCCCTGAAGCCTGCGCTGCAGCAAAACCGAGAAGTGAGGGGTGATCTGCCTGGAGCACCTCCCGTTCTCGGGAGCACCTCCCCAGATCTCAGCCTGCTGCTGGGACCCCCTTTCCAGAACCAGAATTCCTTCCAGCCCTTGGAGCCCAAACCAGATGTGGCTCCCCCCACAGGTAACTAAGGGCAGAGGTCACTGGCATTCTTCTCACGTGCACAGAGAGCTCCCTTACCAAGTTCCCTCTGATGGGGTGTGGTCCTTAGCAACCATGGATTTTAAGGGACAGAAACTCACTGAGTAAAGGGAAGAGAGCACGAAGTACAGGATAGAGAGAGTTAGAAACAGCTGCTGTCATCGCGGCTATGCGGCTTCTCCCTGGACCTCCATTTCTCCTCACCTCCGCCTCTGCTTCTTTGTGTACAAGAAGATTAGAACATGTTGCCAGAATTAGTTGAGGCCAGGCAGAGCAATTCAGTCAGAAGCCAATTTGAATCAGTCTGGAGAGTGCAGGCTGGAACAGTTGAGTTGAACCAGCCAGCGAGAATTCAGAAAGAGCTAGAAAGGCTTGGAAAGGCTCTCATCCTGTCCCCTCATCTAAGAAACTAAGAACTTTTACACACTGCCCCAGGGGAGTGGAGCTCTCTGGCCTCTGGTCACCGGCTCATGCACACAGTGTTTTTTGCGTTATTGTAGGTGTGTGTATAGGCACGTGCATACCATAGTTATGTGGAGCTGTAGGAGCTGACTTGCTCTTTCCATCATGTGGGTTCCAGGAATCAAGCTCAAGTCATCAGGCTTGGCAGCAGTTGCCTTCATTGGTCTACCATCTAGCAGGTCCACCAAAGAAAGGAGGTGACGTCTGCCTCAGCTTCCTTACTAGAGCCAAGCATGATCTTGACCTGATTTAACAAAGGCTGGGATTACAGGAATGTACTACCGTGTGTGGCCCTGAGGCCAACCCCAGCACTTCCTGTTGCTGGGCAGATGCTCTCAGTCGAGCTACATGCCCAGTCCCCAGATTCTGCCTTTTGCTGTGTTCTGGAGGAATTTTTGGAAACGTGTTTGAAGGGCCCAGATTTGTGCTTCTGTCTGCATTTCTGTCTTCAAGTTGAGCTGTGTGATGTCCCAGACTCCTCTCACCCTCGCTTCTCCAGCTCCCTTAAACTCTGACGCCATCTTTCCTAGCTGTGTCCCTCTTCTGTTTGTTTGTTTTAAAGGGCTCTTAAAAAAAGATTTATGTGTATTGGTGTTTAACCTGCATGTACGTCTGTGCCTGTGGAGGCCAGAAGAGGGTGTAGGATCCCCTGGAATTCCAGACAGTCATGAGTGGCCATGTGGGTGCTAGGAATTGAACCCGGGTCCTCTGGAAGAGCAGACAGTGCTCTTAATCACCGAGCCAACTCTCCAGTCCCCACTCTCCCACTTAATAGTGCCTTTTCTTTGGGAGCATTTGGTGGGTTCATTTATGGAGGCTTCTTCCGTGTACAACATCCAAGCATGCCGGGGCGTCGTGTCACTTCACAGCTGGGCCCTTCTCTGCACTGGAGGCACTCACTGCTGACCACAGGGCAGAGCGACCATTTCCGGAGGAAGACCCTGGATCTGATGGGGATGGCTCCCTGAAGCCAGGGCTGCCCCCTGCTTCTCAGCTCGAAGGCCTTAAGAATTTTTTGCAGCAGGTAAGAGAGAATCTACCAAGACCTCCATTTGTCTTACCTACTGACTCATTTCCTCCAGGTTAGGGTCCTGTCCAGACTCTTGTTCCTCCTGCTCAGCTTCCCAGGGCTGGGATCACAGGTTTGTCCCTGTGCCTGACTGGCTTCCTTGCCCATCTGTGTGTGTGTGTGTGTGTGTGTGCGTGTGTGCACGCGCCTGTGTTGTGCCGGTGTGCCTCTGTGGGCGTGCTCATGAAGTGTGCGAGCCAGAAGTTGGTGTCAGATGTTTTCTTCCTAAATAGTGAGGTTATAAAAATGGCTCCACCCTCCACCATGCCTGCTTTTTTTTTTTTTTTTTTTTTTTTTAAGTCAGGGCCTCACTGTGTAACCCTGGCTGGCCTGTGACTTACCATGTAGACCAGGCTGGCCTGTGACTTACCATGTAGACCAGGCTGGCCTGTGACTTACTGTGTAGACCAGGCGGGCCTCAAATTCACAGATTTATGCCTGCCTCCCCAGGGCAATGGGATGGGCACCATCCCTCCTAGCTGTGCCCAGCTTTTATGTGGGTGCTGGGGATTGAACTCTAGTCCCGTGCTTCTCAGTGTCACTGAGTTGTCTCCCCAGCCCCCTTCTCGCCTTTTTAGAGCCAGCTGTCTATCAGTGTAGCTCATTCTTAGTCCATAATTCTCCTCTGGAACGTAGGCCACTGCCCCTAGCTGAGACGTTTCTGTCCCCTTCAGAGCCTAAGGTTTCTTTGTACCGGTTTTCTAGAGGAGTGTCCTGTCTTCTTTCCCCAGCTGCTGGACACAGCACCCCAGAGCCATGAAAGCCCCTCTGTTGACCTGTTGCCCTCTAAGTCTGGTGAGTCCCAACTCTGAAGAAGGTCGGGGCTGGGTCTGGAAGAGGCGGAACTGGCACTCTAGGATGAAGTGGGAACTTGGAGGTTGGACTTGACTCTGCTCCCGTAACTGCAAAGGCCGGTAGCTGCCTTAACACTTCAAACAAGTCTGAGTGAGAAACGCACCCACAGTCGTTTTCTGTGAGAGGTTATACACATTTACTTGAATTTGGATTACATTTTGTTGTTGTTGTTTGTATGGTTTTTGTGACATGATCTCATTCCGTAGTCCAGTCTGGCCTCAAACTTCCCGGGTAACTGGGGTTGACCTTGAATTCACAGCAACTTCCCTGCCCTAGTGCCCTGAATACCGGGTTTACAGAGTGAGTCACAGTGCCTGCCTTGAATTTGGATTCTGTTTCTAAATTTATCCTTATACCTGGCAGTGTTAGAAACAATGACTTGTGCTTCTTTGTAATATACTAGTAACAGCTAACTTATATAACTAACTCTGAAAGTGCTCATTTAACCGACCAGACGCTGGGATCATTGAAATGCCGTGCTTGGTCTTTTATTACGTAGTACCCACGTCACAGAAAAATTTTACTGGGGAAGAGGACTGTCGTTGAGACAGTCTCTGACATGGTCAAAGGTGACCTTGGCCTTTGGTCATCTTTCATTTCCTGAGTATTTCCAGTACAGGTGGGAGCTGTAGGGCCCAGCTTAGGGCTGGGGCTTGAACCCAGGGCCTCTGAGCTACCCTCTGGGAGCTGATCGATGCCCAGCCTTGTTCCCATGGGCATTCTTGCGTCTCTCTCTCCTGCTGCTAGGCTCTCGGGCGGTCTCCTCCTGGGAAGAAGCCCCTCAGGTGCCACGCCTTCCGCCTCCTGTCCACAAAACTAAGGTTCCCTTAGCCATGGCATCGAGTCTCTTCAGAGCCCATGAGCTCCCCTCATCCCATTTTCAGGGCAGCGGCCTCAGCACTGGCTCCCCAGAGAGAGGTGAGCAGACCGGGGTTGTCGGGGAAAGACCATTCTAGAGCCTAGGGAAACGGGATGAAGGCTGGGAGAGGGCCTCAGGTGACCTGTCCACGGTCTCCCAGGTGCGGACGGGCTCAGCCCCCGGAGGCAGCTGATGGAAGTGTCCGAGCTCTTCCGCCTGTACCAGGCCCGGGGCTGGGGCGCCCTGCCTGCCGAGGACCTGCTGCTCTACCTGAAGAGGCTAGAACACGGCGGGTATGAGCTTGGGAGAGAAGAGCAAGAGCTGCAGGGTGGAACTTGGATTAGGAGGTGGTCAGGCAGATTCCCACTGCGCAGGCTCATCCTTTTCAGGGGCCAGCAGTGGGGTAGAGAGAGGGGTGAAGTCTAGGTCCGTTTTCTGTCTCCCTTGTTTCCATTTCCACTGATGTTTCTTCTTAACCCACCTGTATGTCTGTATCCCAGTTTTCCTTCCCCTCTACCCGGAAGCTTAAACTTAGAACCCCAGAATTTTTGTTTAGTTAGTGTAGGTACTGTAAACTTTTTCCACTGTGTCCTTTTTACCTGAGAACTTAAAAAGAAATCAAATGTTTACTCACAGTAAATCATAGGAAATGTATTGGTTTAATATATATATTTGAGACAGGCTCACTGCCGCCCTAGCTAGCCCAGAACTCACTGTGTAGATCAGGCTGTCATCAAACTGCCGAGGGCCTCTGCCTCCCAAGTGCGGGGATTAAAGCGACGTGTGTGCGTGTGCCACCTTGATTTTTTTTTTTAAATGAAACTCAAAGGCAGCAACTCAGACAACAACTGTTCAAATCAAACATTTGAATGCAGTACCAAGATACACTCATTTGGTCCGTGCTGTGGACTATGGGTTAGCGTCGGCCCCTGTGGCAAGGTGCGTGTGAGGCCAGAGCGCATTGAAAAGCCAGGCATGGCAGCTCACACCAGCCCCTGGGGCTCACCGTCCTGGAGCCGCTTTAGCTCCTGGCCAATAAAAGACCCTGTTCACCAGGTAGCCAGGTGTGGCGCATGCCTGTAATCCAGCTCTTGGGACCAGAGGCTGATCTCTGAGTTTGAGGCCAGCCTGGACTGCACTGTGAGACCCTGTCTCAAAGAGACGAAAAGGGTTAGCGTGGATCGCTCCTGAGGAGCAGCGCTGGAAGCTGTCCGCATGCTCACACATGTCCGCACGTGCCCACACATGCGTGCATTCCTGGATGGACACGCAGAAGTGGCCTCCGTCTTCTGTATTTAACCGTCATTTGTCTGAGAGCAGAAGGCCCCGAAGGGACAGGGAGAACACTGCCCGTGATCCACCGTGCACAGCGGTGCCGAGCTGGAGCCGGTGCCTCAGGCAGTGCCCGCCGTGGGGTGACAGCAGGCCCGGCGCACAGCGTGTGTGCCCTGTGTCCGGGAGCAAGGCTGCACCACCCAGAACACCTCCGACTTGATTGGGAATTATTTTGGTTGAATTTGAATTAATTTTTGGTTGTGCCCTGTTCATCTGTCACCTCCACGTTTAGCTGTGCCACACCACAGCTGTAAGAAGCACAGGTCCAGGGTAAGCTGTTAGGCCCCTCGCTCCTCCGTGGTTTCCAGTTCAATTCATTCTCAGGTCTCCTTCTCTTCCCTTCGTGTGACGCCGGACAGTGAGTCACAGGCCTCATGTTGGCAGGACGCGTGCTCTCGCACACTCACATTCTTCTTGTTTTGTTTGGGGGTGGGGTGGTTTTTTGTTTTTTGAGACAGGGTTTCTCTGTGTAGCCCTGGCTGTCCTGGACTCATTCTGTAGACCAGGCTGGCCTCGAACTCACAGAGATCTGCCTGCCTCTGCCTCCTGAGTGCTGGGATTGCAGACCCGCACACCATGCCCAGCGAGGACTCACATTCTTAAGAGAGGAAGTCGGGACCACTGCCCTTTGCACAGAGTTGTATGGAATTGGGGCTACTCCCCACCCACCCTGTCCTTGCTTATACCCTTGATTTGTGTGGCAGCACTGATGGCCAAGGGGATCTTGTCCCCAGAAGAAACACAGACTCCCGCCTGGGTGAGATCCCCCGGAAAGAGGTGAGGGGCTCTGCAGGAACCAGGGGTGACCAGGCCTCTTGTCTGACCAGAGACCCCAACTCTCCACACGCCCTGGCTGGCCCCGCCCCTCCACTGTGTGGTCTCGGCCCCCACTTGCTAGGGCTTGCCCTTCCTCTCCCCTGTGCTCACTGGTTGGGGCCTCCTCTGGGGGGTGGAAAGTGGGGGTACAGGATGGTGGTTTCTTCTTTCCTCTCAATTCGCAGATCCCCGCCCATGTCCCTCGACGCCTTGCTTCAGCCCCTAAGACTGAAAAGCCTTCTCGGAAGAAAAGTGGGCAATCTGCCCCCGGCAGTGTGCGGAGTCGGGGAGGCATCTGGAGATGAGGCCTTCTCCTCTGCATTGTCCTCGTCGCTGTTCATTTTCGTCTGCCCTGTAGTCTGTCTGTATCAGAGGAATTTGGAAAATGGAGATTTTGTAGGAAGCTACTTTGTGAAGAAACCTTTAAAAATAGTTCCAGTATTTTAAAATATATTTGTTATTTCCTATAAGAAAACATAGGGAGTCTTTGGGGCTGCTGTGTGACTGGAGGTGTGAGTGGGCTGAGGCTCTGTGGGCTTGGGTTTAGCATTAAGTGAATTATGAAGGACTTTGTTATACATTTTGTATTTTTCATACTTTCTGAAATAAGTATATATTACTTGAGTGACCAGAAACTCCCAAACTTTTAATAAAAGGGTAAATTATTGTATAAAACATTGGAGAGAAAGCTTTGATGCTGGGAAGAAAGTTTTGTCATTTAAAATGTGTTAGATTATTTTTATATGAGTTTTTAGTTGTTGTTGTTTTGTTTTTTCCTCTTTTGAGACCAGGCCTCCCTGTGTGTAGGCCAGTCTATCTGCCAATTTGCAGCCCTCCTGCCACATATGTGTTGGTTTCAAGCATGTGCTAACATGCCTGGCATTTCTGCTTCCTAAAAGCAGATGATTTTTTTTTCGGGTGGCAGTGGGGATTCAGATTGGCAGGTCCTGTCCAGCCAATAGACGAGGTTGGGCTGTAAACATTACAGCTTTAAAAGGGGTTGGGCATCATGGCACACTCCTTTAATCCCAGTGCTGGGAGGCAGAGGCAGGTGGATCTCTGAGGAGGCCAGCCTGGTCTACAGATGGAGTTCAGGGATAGTCAAGGCTACACAGTAAAGCCATGGGTGGAAGGAAACAAAACATGTAAATAAACTCTAGCAGTGAAGTAACAGCTACCTCCAAAGCCTTCCATCCTTACCTCACCACTAGCAACAAAGAAGCAGCACCGGGCTATGAAATGGTAGCTGCTCACGAGACTTGTGCCTATATCTGTAACACTCGTTGGGCAGAGGATTGCTACAAGTTTGAAGCCGACCTGGGGTAGCTAGTTCAGGCCAGCCTGGGCACAGAATGAGACTTGTTAGTTTAGGCCCCAGCTTAGAGTGGAAGCCCTGAGTTTCAGTTAAATTGAGAGAATGAACACATACGGTTTCAGGCGACTGAGGCTGGACCCTCAGCTGCAGAGAGCACCCTCTCTGGACAGGCGGGCACAGACGCTGCCGACAGGAAGGGCCGATGGTGCTTGAGGAGCGTGTGATGAGGCGGCCAGACCCTTCTCAGACCTTGAGTCATTTGATGTAATCCACATAGGCAAGCTTCTCACAATGATAGCAGTTCACATCTGGCTTCTGCTTCCTCAGGGGCAGGGCATGGGAGTACATGGCAAGTTAGTTATGAGATCCTCCTCACCATCCAAGGTACTAGGCCTTCAGCTCAGCCCAGGGCCTTCTCTGAGGGCACTGGGCTGGCGAGGTGGCAGCGGGAGGGGGAGGGGTGCTTTCTTTAGGAACGTTTGCATCTTTATTTCCAGTGTCATCAGATCAAATTGATATGTGCCACACGCCATCAGTAAGAATTAGTTTTACACTTTAAAAAAATGTTGGTCAAGTGAACATTGGGGCTGTAGCTCGTTATCTCCAGAGTCTAGCCTGCCGCCATCAGCCAGCATGCCCACATTTCCCTTGACAGGCTGGAGAGGTCCCTGAAACAGCTCGGTGCGGAGCACAGTGCTGGCTTATCCCCTTGCGAGGCCGTGCTGGAGGACAGCCTTGAGTTTTAAGCCTGTTTATCACTGAAGAGAGTGAGGAGGGAAGAGGAAATCCCGCTGTCTCCACCCAACAACTCCTGGTTATCTTGGGGAAATTCTGAGAAGGGAAACAAACAAAACGAAACAAAGCCCTGACCATTTTAAGAAAACCAACACGCACGGGTGCCTACTTCCGGTGGAGGTTCAGGGCATATGTGGGGAGGGCATAGGGACCCCGGGGCTGTGACAGGCCAAGCTTTCAGACACAGTTTACCTCTGTGAAGGTCCAGAAGGGGAGTCGGACTTCACATGCTCCCTGGGGCGTGTTGCCGCCATCTTGCCGCTTGAACATCCACACAGGTGAGGCAGATCATTGACTCCCAGCTGGAAAGTGAAGGCTTCAGGGGTCTGGTGTCGTACGACAGGTAGCTGGAAATACGACGCACCGACTTTGCTACGATTTCATTAGCAAGGTGGTCCACCAGGCTGCAAACGGCTCAGAAAGGTAGCGTCGGTGGGCCACTGTGGGCAGCTGGTTCTGTGTGTAACGATGGTGAGGAAGGAGAATGCGAATTCTGCCTTACAGAAGATGAGGCCTTAGAGGTGTCACATGCCTACACGCCCCATGCTTGGGAGCAGAGGCAGGTGGACCTCTGTGACAGGCCAGCCTGGGCTACAGAGTGAGTTCCAAGCCAGTCAAGGCTACACGCCAAGGACAGACCCTGTCTCAAAAAACCAAAAATTAAAATAATTTCTAAAGGAAGTTGAGAACTATTTATTGGGAAGATGACTCGCCCATAAGAGGAAGTGACCAACTGTGAGACGAGGGCCCAGCCCAGTGCAGAACTGAGCCAGTCTCCTTCAGAAATTAGCGTTGGGAACGACGTCGGTAAACAGTGTTCTTAGAAGAGAGAGAGGGCATTAAAAAGGGCAGTCGTGCGAGCAAGGGGCGAAGGGATGAACTTGGGGCTGGAGAGGCGGCTCCTGCAGAAGACCCAGGCTCAGTTCCCAGAGGCTTAAAGCCAACTTAACTCTCCTCTGATACGCCCCACCTGGGCATGCACTGTTACACACAGACAACTGGGCATAGTATCATGGATTCACGTTAGTGACCACCTATGACAGAGAAGACAAAAGCATTATGGGTCCTGGGAATCTGAACTTCTGTTCTTAGCAGGAGGCAAGGGCTTGATTCCCACCCTCTCCTCGGCTCTCCAAACACTAGGCTTAGTGGGGAATATTAGAAGCCTCCTCTTTCCAGATCCTCTTTAGGACCTTGAGACGTGACTCAGCAGCTAAGAGCACTGGCCACTCTTCCAGAGGACCTGGGTTCAATTTCCAACACCTACATGGTGGCTCACAACTGTCTGTAACCCCAGTTCCAGGGGCTCTGATGCCCACTTCCAGCCTCCGGGGAAATCAGGCATGCACAGGGCACATACACACACACCAAGCAAGCAGATGCATAAATCTTTTGAAAAGTAATAAACCATCCTCTTGGAGCAAGGCTGTTCTTCCTTATCACCTCTGTTAGCACAGGAGTGCAATCCTAGATGCTCAAGGATGGGAAAAGGGAAAACCACTGTCACCTTCAGGACATGCTTAAATGAGGATCAGACTGTATACTTACTTGAAATACATGATGTACTTTCATAAGTGACACCACGTTGATACATGTATTTCAAATGTTAATGCTATGGTAAATAGCATGTTAAGAGTTGTAGTAAATTCTTCAGTGTCTTAATGTCAATATAAGCAGTTTAGCTTAACAAAAGAATTTTAAATAGAGGCTTAAGAGATGGCCCAACAGTGAAGAGCAATGGCTGCTTGTCAAGAGGACTGGGGTTCAAAATCCAGGACCAACTGCCCATAACTCCAGGTCCAGGGGACACAGCACCCTCTTCTGTCCTGCACAGGAACCAGGCAAGCAGTTAGTATGCAGACAAAACAAAACAAAACAAATATACAACATAATTAAAGGATAAAAATAAAGATTTTAAAAGAGAGATATGAGCCAGCATTTCTTGAAAAGAAGCAAACCCAAGGACGCAGTGCTCTCTGGGAGGTCTCGGCCTCACTGGGCTCTGGGTGAGCTGCAGATGAAACCAGAGCCAGCTATTTTTATGCCCCACCAGACGGGCAGCATTGTGAAGGTCTGAATGTATGTCACTGAGGGTTTGCGACAGCAGCAGCTGTTCTGCGGTTGAGAGAACCGGGAGGGGACAAATGGGCCATTTCGGGAAACATCTTGGCAGAGCCTGCACGCACCCTAAATGCAGTGAAGCCATCCCCAGGGACACGGCCTAGAAAATAGCTCTGCACCAGGAGACGAATGTGCAGAAGTCCCTGGGGGGGGGGGGGTGAGGAGTGGAATGCAGACAGTCGAATGTCCTTCTGCCATGGCAGCTTCTCTTCAGGAAAGACTACAGAGCAGTTCAGATGGGTAAACTGTAGTTACAGGCGTCTGTCTGTGTGACGGTCATAAACACGGTGCCTCGTGACGATGCAGGAGGAGATGGCCGGCACAGACTGCTTACGTAATGCTAAAATCCGTGCAGAGCAGCCCAGCCCAGCCCAGCATGTGTTATCAGAGCCCACACGGGTGCTGGCTCAGGGTGTTGGGGTGAGTGTGTCTGCCAGAAGGGAATGACAAGGGAGTCAGAGACAGGGCGAGTGAGACAGGGTGGCGGTGGAGACTACCTGTGGGGCTGTCTTGGGGTTTTATTGCTGGGACAAGATGTCATGATCACAGCAATTCTTAAAAGGGAGAACATTTAACTTGGGCTGCTTTACAGTTCAGAGGTTTAGTCCATTATCATCATGGCGGGAGGCAGGCATGGTGCTGGAGAAGGAGCTGAGAGTTCTACATCTTGAAGAGATCAGCAAAAGAGAGGAGCAAGGAGAAGCTGTGCTCCACACTGGGCCTGGCTTGAGCATGTAGGACCTTAAAGTCCTACCACAGTGATATGCTTCCTACAACAAGGCCACTTCTCTGTTGCAGGATATTTGATCCCATTGTGAACCTTAGCTAAGATTGTGAACTGTAAAACCCTGTCTTTTGTTTGGTATGGCTCAGCCCTAGCACACACCTTTGATCCAAGAGCTTTCTGTACACAGGTCAAGAGGCAGAGCAAGAAGGCAGCTGACAGGGAGTAGCAGAAAGGAGGGACTTCTGTGAGAAGAGTGTTTAAGACAGCATGGAGAGAAGAGCGAGCTTTAGCTCTCTAGCTCTTGGGCTCTTTAGCTCTTGGGCCTCCAGCTTTTGGCTTTCTCCTCCTGGGCTGTCGGGTGAGCTAGCAGGCTTTTGGTTTTTTTCCATCTGAGACATGAGCTGAATAAGAAGGCTTTTTCTGTCAAGGTTTGAGCTGAGAAGGATGGTCAGCGGAGTGCTTTCTCTGCCTCTCTGAGCTGGCAGGCTTTCACCCCGCATCTGGCTCCCGAGTCTTCATTGGTAAAGCAGAAGGATTGGAGTTTCCATTTCTTTACAACAGCCTTCCTGCTGGCACCACTCCATTGTGTTTGAACGGACCAAGCATTCAAACCCAAGTGTCTATACGGGCCACACCTGTTCACACCGCCACGGGGTGCTGGCATAAATGCTAAGTTAAAAAAACAAAGGGAGAGCAGACGTGCAGACGTGCAGGCTTGGAGAAGGGAACAGGAGCCAGTGCGGCTACTTCTCTTGCTTGGGTGCATCGCAGATTAACACATACGGATAAACACAACGCGCATCTGTAAACGTTGCCCCGAATGCCA